TGCCCTCATGCTGGGTCCATCTGTGGACACCTCTGGCCTGATCCTCTGAGCTGGGGTCTTTGAAGCGTTGGCCAAAGGGCTCAGTTTTCACCCAAATCTATGTCTCCTGCTCGCTGTCTAAACTGGGTGGCAGCTTTTTTGATGAAACAGAAACCTGTCTATCTGTCGTTGTGTGGCTTTCATTCTATAGTCAATGCATCCCCATGAATTGGTCAGATCACTAGAGCTCTCTTGCCATGGATTCTGTCATTCCTTCTGTGAGAATGTTCCTCCTGCAGAGACCAAAGACCACCTTGTCCTCATACCTGTCCTTCCATGCCCTTCCTCCAGCACCTTCTCCTCCCCCCTGTGTCCTTCCTCCTGCAGGCTTCCCTGGTGCGAGGCTGGTCAGGACTCTGCATGGCAGCTCCATGCAGCCCCGGGAGCCCATCTAACCCAACACCATTCCTGGCCCCTGTTCATGAGTCCACAGTCCCTGAGACCTGCCCTGAACCTCTGACCAGTGTGTCTCTAGCCTTGACCCTGAGCGACTGGGTCTCTCTAAAATTTCCACCCGCTTTCCCCTCAGTATTTCTCTTCCTCTCTTTCCCTTAAGACAGGGGCCACCAGGGACTTGCAGATAAAATCTTGTCCCACAGGAGCCCATCAGGGGAAGACAGAACAGAGCCCAACTAGAATCCAGCATGACCCTCCCAGACAGACAGAAGAATCCACAAGGCATCCTGTCCATTCCTCTGGGGTCAGAGGTGAATGGCTGAGGGGGACCAAGCAGGACAGTAAGAACAGGGATGGGAAGACCTCAGGTCCCCAAGGGCTGGGATCCTGGGTGAAAGCTTGGCCACAGGCTGAGACAAGACCAGAAAAAGAGCAAAAGTAGCAGAAAACAGCCCAAACTTTGTAGGGGAGCAGGGAAGGAGGGGGAAGGAGACACTCACCTAGGACGGTCAGCTGGGTCCCTCCGCCGAACACCCAACACTGTGATACAAGCTCATACAAAAACCTCTCTCTGGGAGGCCCTGCCCACCCTTGAGCCCACCCCCCTCCCCCTGCAGCTGTGATGGAGGAAGCCTGGGCCACTGCCCCAGGGGTGTCTGGTCTACAAGGGCACACACACTGTCCCCTCTTTCAGACCAGCAGGTGACAAGATAGGGGACACGGTGCATTGCACGGAGATAGCATTCTTGGAAGCAGTTCTCCCAAAGGAATTAGGTGTTTGACAGGCTGTTTCCACTCTGCTCCCCTGGGATGTGGGATGAGTATGGCGGACATCTCTGTCACTGTGGGGAAGGTTCCATGGGAACGGGTGGCACGTCTCTCTTATGTCCAATCACCCCTAATCCCTGGGTGAGAGCATGAGGGGAGGGCAGTGTGTATTCCCTCCTCCCCCCACCCCTCCATTCCAGGGAAAGAAAGGTTGGTCTGTGTAGAAAGTCTACTGGCATCTTCCTATGTCTCCAACCATCTGATCCAGACCTCTGGCTTATCTTCCCTAGGGCAGCCTAGATAGGGATAGAATTGGTGATGTCAGGGTGGGACTGTAGTCTTTGCCAAGCTGTCTTTTAGGGTGAGCTTGGGGGTGTCTCCTAAGGCGGGATGGTTTGGGGTGCTGTGTCACCAGGGAGGCCTGACCTTGGTGTAACCCACAGGCCACACTCCCCCTGATCTGAGCTCCTCTCACCTGCCCTAACTCTACTCCTGAATTCCAGTGGATATGCCCTCCCTGGGATGGCACTGGATGCCCATTCTGTGCCCAGGACGGTGCCCTTTCTAATTCATCAAGGTCAACTCCCATGTCTACTCTACCTGAGGCCTGACATCACCGGCTCCTTCCTTAAACCAAACCCCAAATCTCTCAGGTTGATCTGACTTCAGGGTTTGAGACCTTCATGATGGAGGTCCCAGGCCCAAGCTTGGGTCAGCTAGAGCCTGAGCCTGACCCAAGACCATGAGAACGTAAACTGAGCTACGTTGTGCCGCATCCTCAGTCCAGGATCCCAGCACCATGAGATCCAGGTTCTCTGAGTTGGAAAGGGGTGTGAGCATGATTGGGGAATTGTTAGGTTGTATGATATTAAACTGTTTCTTTGATGTCTGACTTGTCAGTGTCATTGCTGACCTAACATGCATCGTCGAAGTTTGACAAATGCACCATGGGAGGCACTGTTGAAAGCTTTTCATGATTTTATGGTGAGGAGCCAACCAGGAACCTTCACCTGGTAATGGCTCCCCCATTGGGCTCCATGATGGGAAAGGGAAGTTCAATGTCTGTTCCAAATGACCATAGCCTTGGTTCCATGATTTCCTTCCCAATATTTCCATCTGTAACCCACCTTGCCCTCCTGTGTCCTCTTCATTTCTCCCTGATCCCTCCTCAGGACCCCTGGATGCCTCTCATTAAGCCCTTGTCCCTTTGCAGGTGACCAGGACTGGGTCCCAGGGGCTGGTCCCATAGGAGAAGTTCCAGCCTTGGGTCGCAGCGCCCATGGGCACTCAGAGATCATTCAGGTCCCTGGTGGGTGAGTGGAGTGGACCTCAGGCAGGTCCATGTCATGTCATTCCTGTCCTGTCCTTTATTACCGACCCTTCAACCCAGAGACCCTACCCCACACAGAACACACATGCGAAATGTCAGATGAGAAATGAAAGGAGTTTATTCAGGAGAAGGGGAACGGGGAGGGATGGCCACCTGCTCAGTCTGAGCGACCAGGGCAGGAGCCACAGGGGGACAGTGGGGAGCGGGGGAAGGGAGGATCTGACGGAGAAGTGTCCCCAGAAGTGGGGACTCAGGTCCTAGGCACACTCTGAGGGGGCCACTGTCTTCTCCACGGTCTTCCCGTCGTGCGTGACCTGGCAGCTGTAGGCGCTGGCGGACTTCCAGTCTTGGCTGGACACGCTCAGGTAGCTGCTGGCCGCGTACTTGTTGTTGCTCTGCTTGGAGGGCTTGGTGGTCTCCACGCCCTGGGTGACGGGGGTGCCATTTGCCTTCCAGGCCACCGTCACGCTGCCCGGGTAGAAGTCACTCATGAGACACACCAGTGTGGCCTTGTTGTTGGCGAGCTCCTCAGCGGATGGCGGGAACAGAGACACGGAGGGTGCAGACTTGGGCTGACCTGTGGGTGCGGGAGGGGCAGGAGGGGAGAGGCTCAGGGTCCATCCTGAAAGCTGCTGACCTCGGTCTTCCTGTGGGCACAGTGTCCTGAGGACCATGCAGGACCCTGGGGCAGGGGCCTCTCTGGGTGTGAGATCCATGCCATGCAGGGCAGTTTGGGGTGTCCCTAACTCAAGTCCCCATTTTCCTGAGAAACCCTGAGCCTGGAACCTGCCATCACCGTCCTTGTGGGCCCCGTTCTGCCCCCCACACATCTGACTGTCACCCTCTGGCTCTGCCTTCTCCTGGTATCTGACTGGGCCTGTCTGTGTCTGTCAGTCTGTTTGTCCCACAAAAGATGCTCTGAGCCCTCTGCCCTCCTGCTGGGCCCATCTGTGAACACCTCTGGCCTGATCCTCTGTGCTTGGGTCTTAGGGTCTTTGCCCTCAGGTTTCTTTCCCCACCCCCCACCCACCAATCTACCTGTCCTGGACTTCCTCTTAAGTGAGTATGAGTTTTGCTGATGAACAAAATGTCTGTCTGTCTGGTCTGGGTCTCTCTCATTCTACAGTCAATGGAGTCCCCGCAAGTCGGTCACATCCAGTGATATGACCTTTATGCCAATAATTGTACATAC